CAAAAGACATGCTAAGGTAGACATATAAGCCAAAAGGACAACTGAATAGAAACTTTAGATGATTATACCCAGCCCTTGTAAAGATTATAAATATGTGTTGGTATGTGTTTGTACTTATTCTAGATGGCCTGAGGCCTTCCCTATAAAAACAGAGAGGACCTCAGAGATACACAAGATTTTAAACTGGGGGACTGAGTTTATTTTAAAATTGGAAAAAAAAACCTTTACAACTTCTATGGGAAGGGCCATATGAGGCACTTATAGTTACTCCCACAGCTGTCAAGGTAGCTGAAGCTCAGCTACCCCGAGTGAAACAGAACTCCATGGATTCCAACTCCAGGAGACAATGCACTCAGGCCCTGCTCTCACCACACCAGAAGTTGGTGAGTCCACGTGTGGCTGAAGAATGAGAATTGCAATCAAGATAGACTCTTATATTGATTGTGTCAAACTGTTATGAGCTATTATGCTTTTGAATTGAGTTTATAAGCCTACAGATGATAAAATATGTGACCTTTATGTGCTCTAGGGATCCTAATCCCCAACTTATCTGTCTAAAAAGATACTTTTACAAATTGCTATGACCCCTTAGCTAAAAATTTAAGTAAAGTGATGAATCAAGGATTTTATTCTAAAATCAGTGGGGAATGTGAAACCTGACTGATCTAAAGTGACTCCATGTTGGCTGGATAATGGCCCAGAGACTGTTTCACCCTCCCCTTATCTTCAACAGGGAAAACTGCTTAAACCCAAAATGCTTTTAAGATTTTAGACCATCTTGTAGGCATCTGTTAACCATCAACATGTGGCTGCTGAATACGTGACAGCTGGCCAGCAGTGCGAATCAGCAGACCATTAACCTTTGCCACCTGACTGCAAGTTTTGAATGTTAACTCCCCCTGTATCCCCTTATAAGACCTCAGGCCCTAAGCTAGCGCCTCTCTGAGCTATTTGGCTCCAGGAGTGCCATCTGGCCAGACTAATAAAGGTCTGTTTTATTTTCCAACTTGTCCAGTGTGCTCCTTCCTGGGTGATTCTTGTGGCTGTTGAGCTCCTCGGAGCAGTAGGTGAGGCTCTTGGTCTTACACTTTAATTAGCACTACCTGGTCCACTAAGTTCAGCTAAGCATCAGATGCTCTGGTGGGAGATGAGAGCATCTAAATTGGTCCCTTCACAAAAATGCCTCTCTCCTTTCCCTACTCTTGTCACATAACTCATTTTCCTGTTGGATCAAGAAGCCTATAATTCTCTTTTGTATGTGCTCACTTAAATTCTGGTACCCATGCTTATCTTGGTTATCAGCAGTGCCATGTGGACCAGTATCTTTATGAGCCCTTTCATATGAAAATTCTTCAGCTATGACATCTTTCATGCAACTCAAAGTATCTGAAATATCTAGTAAAGTGACAAAATCAAATGCAGAAGAGTGAAAAGGTACTTCTTTTGAAGCTGTAGGATCCACAGCCAATGTGGATATTTTGTTTCCTTTGCCTCCATTTCTATGAGGTTTCTACTGCAGCCAGTGAGACCTTCCTCTTGCAGCTGTGCTTGGTTTAATGTCATTGGAAAACCGTCAAGGAGCCATGCTTGATTCACAGGTATCTGATTAATAGCATTTACTATGATATTAGTTATTGTGTCTGGAATGGTCTTTTCTTCAGCAATTGTGATTTTGCACCTAGCTGAGCCCATACAGTGAGTTTAGATAAAATGATCACTATCACTTGATTTGACTTATTCAGTTGGTGTTCTATTAGTATGTGTACTAAATGTAGTTTCACCTTCTGTTTCTGGTAATGCTTCTGAAACCAGAGCATCTGAAGATATGCTGTGTGAGTCCTGGCTTTCCTTACTGTCCTCCTTCAGATCTGATGGAATCTTTCCACCTTCTTTCTGAATTGATAGGTCCTCACTGACGTTTTCACTGTCACAAAATGCTTGGATAGCTTCTAGGACAAGAGTGCCCATACAAAGTACCTGAAAAGGAAACTCTCTTTGTAGTCTTTAAAGTAGTAGTTTTCCCACTAAGTGTTTTCCCTAGTAAGCATCCTTCAATAACAACTGAAGGCAGTTCGGGCTCTGTTGCCTCAACTCGAAGAGGAAGAGATTTTTCAATGAGTCTGTGAGGTACATGGCCCAATATGGAATTGTTGGAGGGTGGTGAGTTACCCATCACTTCTTCTGGTACAGCCCACTCTCCAATCATGTTCTAATATTCTTCATAACCTTTGCTATCTAACAAGCCTTTTTTTTATCTACTTCTCTAAGTTATTCTTCAGAGGGATTAGCAGGCATATCCTTAATAGAGGTTTGTTCATATATAGGCTTTCCATTAAAAAAACAATTCCTTCCGATCATGTATCATCCAAAATGGAATTAGATTATTTATCAACATTTGATACCCTGCCACTTTAGTGGACAAATGAAGTATTTGATCCCAAATTTCTTTTATAATGATTTCTATAACAAGCCTGAACTCTTTCCACAGCAATCTATTCATGAACTTCTTTCTCTGAGGATTTGTTCTTCAAAATCAATCTTGGCTTGTTTTGCCAAAGCAACTTCTCAATCAAGAGCATTCTGGAATTCTTTAAGTCATCTTTCCTCATATTTTCTCTGAAAATTGTTTTGCCATAAAACCTTTACAGGCAGGATATGCATTAGCTGCACAACAATCCTGCACTCCTGTTGGGACTCACATGAGCCCATCTATCAGCTGCTCCTCACAATGACCTCCTGTGCTTTATGGGCAATGAACTGGTCCATTAACAACCTCCACCATCTCTTCTCTCCTCTCTTGTAAAAGCATCTTCTTCTAGATTCTTCTGGATTTTTTATTTAGTCATCTAAGTGTTTAATGAGTCTGCTGTATCTAAACCAGTCTTGGATCCACTTTCTTTTGTCTGAGGATCCTTTTTTATTAATGCTTCAAACTTCATGATCTCATCAGCAGCAACACCTGCTGCCTCCTGTTGCTTTTTCCATCATTTTGTGGGCCTCAAGTGCTTTCAGAGTGCGATTGTATGCAAGTTTAGTTATCTGTATGACAGATGCTTGGATTTTGGCCATTATTTCATTTTGTTGTCTTTTGTTTAAGCATTGCTCTTGAGAAGCCTTACTTTTCGTGTTTTGAAATTTTAAGCTAATCACAGAGAATGCTGTCTTCAATTCTTCAGACACAAAATCTTCATGGGATCAAGCCAAGCCCTATGCCAAATATCAATCAGGGATGCTGTCTTCTATTCTTCTGGAACTTCAGGAGAGCAAGGGAAGCCCTGCACCTGATACCAATCTTCTGTCACGAGCTTAAGCTGCAGCCCTCCAACTGATACTAATCAAGTGAGAGAGCAAGAGACTGGGGATATAGCTCAGTGGAGCCAGCACCTGCCTGGTAAACACAAGGTCCTGAGTTTAATCCCCAAGATAGTGAGCCAGAGAGACGTGAGCAATAGTTCTACTTTTCTAACACCAGATTTTTTCAACTTTGATGAACTTTACTGATTTGAATTGATATTCATTTCCATTTTCCTTTTAGACCTTCTTTTGTCTATATTATGTGTTCATATTTGTGTTGAGGTTAGTCTTTAATACTTTTTTCCTTTTCTAGTTATCACTTGTAGAGAATGAAAATACCTTCTATAATTTTAACTCTCAGATTAATTTTGAGGATATTCTTTGCTAAACAGCAACACTCATCTTAACATTTGTGCCTTTTAAAGTTTTCTCTAAGTTTTTCTATATTCATAGTCATTTTCTGCATCATTTCAAATGATCATTTTCTGCATCATTTCTAATGATCATTTAGTTTTTCTTTCATGTATTATTCAGTAAGTTACATTTACTTTTTTTTTTTTTTTTTTTTTTTTTTTTTTTTGTGGTACTGGGGATCAAACTCAGGTCCTTGCACTTGCAATTCAGGAAGCAGAACCACTGACCTAAATCCCCGGCCCTAAATTTACTCTTTTAAATGTTGGATCAACCTTTTATTCCTGGGATAGACTTTACTTGGGTGTGATATGTTCTTTTTATATACTCCCAGATTTCATTTGCTAATATAAAGTCCCTACGACTATACATTGTACCTTGCATGTACTTTTCTTACTGCTTTTGAATAGAAACTAAGAATATCTTAAATGCTGTCCCAAACTTACCATTGAGAAAACATTTAATTTTTTAAACAAGTCATTATAGCTTTTATCCCTCAATCAAAATCATTTGATCTGGCTGAGGGTGTAGCTCAGTGATAAAGTACTTTCCAAGCATATACAGGCCTTCAATTCAGTCTCTAGCATGAAGGGGAAAGATGGATTAAAAATTGCATTTGGTTTACCAATAATGATAAAGTGTAAATTAAAATAAAAGCCTTAGGTAACTTACATAATTTTTAAAAATCCCAATAGTCAAGATGTTAGCTGATTTGCTCCCCTTGCCCCTAAATTCCTACCTGAAGTGGTTAAGGGATGCAATGAGACTACAGAAGTAGGGCTAGAGGTTTTTGAACCTTCAATTACAAACTAGTCATTTCCTTATTAATACTACAGTGATAAAAAGAGAAAGTTTTCTAAAGGCATTTTTATACACATTTTATATAAGAATGAGAAAAAATTAACTGTTAAATTTCAACAGTGGGGAGCTAAGGCTGTACGGCCTTCCCACCCCTCCACTGCTGTACTGGCTCTAGGGCTGTGCATCAGGGTTCCATATTCCACAGGAAACTGAGTAAGGTGCGTATCTTAAGGAGTAGGTGGGGTTTCTGCTCTCAGAAGAAAATGGAAAAGGAAGATAAACATTTTCTTTTGAAAGCAAATTGTATTAATGATAACTGGACAAAGTTCTTAGTTGTATGGTTTCCGAGTAATGTCAAACTTTTTTGAAAATCTAATCATTTAGAAGGTTTCTTGCTGAATGGTTAAAACTGGCTATTATTAAAGAAAATTTTAAAGAAAAAATGCAACTCTCTTACAGAATAGTATAAATGTTTATTTTCTGTATGACTTACTTTCCTGTCCTGTTTTTACAATATAGAAAAGCGTATTCTTTGAATAGCTCTAGTAAATATAAATTTAATCATTCTATCTTGGGATGTAAATAGAGCTAAAAAGTTATATACCCAACCTTCCCCAAATAGTCTTTTAAAATGGTTGAATGAACGTGGTTATTAATGTGGTTCAGCAATTTGATGCAAATGCCTAAATACAAAAAGTTGTTTAGTAAGTACTACATAGGAAGAAAAAGGGCTTAATACTTCAGATAGCCTCTTGAAAATCAAAAACTAGTAACATTTGATTGCACCTTCAAATTTTTACAAGCAAAACATTCTTAAGCAATGCCATCATACATAATCTACAATTGTAATCAAAATTCACATTTTCTGCACACTGTATATAAATACACATCACAATGGTGCAATTAGCATTAACACAGAATATATACAAAATGAACAAAGTTTAGGTTTAGACCAAAACCTTACTGTAATTTTTGAAAAATAACTTGATTAGATATTATTTTATCCTCTTACACTAATTTACATTTATACAAATTTTAATTAGGCATACTAGATTGAGGTGCTAAGAATGTCTGCACTATCTACATTTAAAGTTACTGCACTATACTTCTTTAAATCCAGATTTCAAAAGAAGGATACTTTAATGAATAACGGAATCCTCTTTTGGGTTACTTAATTTCTATTGCCCATATCTTGCATGTTCATATGAACATATATACACACTTAATACATACAACTGTAGAGTCCTTGTAGGAAATATAATAATCATATATATAATGACAATTACTGAAGATTAAGGTACCCAACAAAATGTCTGAATTCCAATATGGGGTTTTTGGAGTTGTTTTTTTTTTTTTTTGGTCATAAAATCAAGAGTCCTACTACAATAGACTCTTAAATTCATAATTTAATTACTGAAAATGATTTAGCCTATTTTACCAATTACATGAAAATATACATGCCTTCAGTTTACCAAATCACTGCCTAAAAACAATGCCATGGTAAACTTCCCTTATAAAAAGAAATTCCACTACAATTTTGAAAGTTTTGTTAGGAGACCTATTTCAGTAAATCAAATAAAAGCCATATATTGGTCTGCAAGTTATTAGTTCAAACATCTACAAAGAGAGCCGTATAGAGAAAAATCCTTCTTTAAATTCATCTCTTACAGCTTCAATATTCCTTATTTCTCTATCCAAGCTAAATTGTATACTTGATAATTATATGAAGTTCTATAATATCTCTACATAATATTCACTTATATTCACATACCTCTCACTTTACTAGTAGCCAGTAATCACTTTGACAGCTTATTTCAAACACATACCACTTCTCTGAAGAAAATGGAGACAGCTCAGAGCACTCTTAGCCATTCCTCATTACAGAAACACACTACACACCTTTTGAAAATTACTTACTATCCCTTCACTTGTGCATGTGTGTGTGAAAAACAATTTTGCTTTAAAATTTTGCCTGGAGATTGCTTCCTCTTTTGCTATTCCAGAATCCAGCCTAAAAAGCTGATTTTTTTTAAAAAAAGAGTGCTTTTTGGAACACAAAATGCCATTTGAATACATTCCATAAAAATTATGTAGACCTTTTACCTGTGTATATTCTAGATTAGAAGCAAAGAATGACTGCACAGGACCAATGCTGTTTTGACGTCTACTGAACAAAGCCATACAACACCACACATTATAAATTCCATAATTTTTAAAATGTTCTTTGTTGATAGAATCAGAAAGATAGAACATCTAGTTGTTAAGAAACCCAACTAAATTAAAAATCTGTATAATAAAAATGTAAAAGAAAAATTCAATTTAGAAGGGGTGTAAACAGAATTAACTCAGATTTAAAATGTACTAATTTCCTTAATTAAAATTTCTTCTCTTTCAGTATTATAATTTCAGGTCTCTTAAAACAAGGACTGAGTTGAAATACAGTAATCATTAACTTATCCAGAAAATCAAGTGTCCTTGAATCCTACATTTTCTGTACAGTTCCATTTCTCCATCTTTTATGCATGAGTCAGCAGTTCATGGCGCAAGGGTCACTTTTTGCTTTTCCTGCAGAGTTGATGACACTCATCAGGCAGCGTCCAAATTCCTCCAGTATCATTCGCTCAGCGGCTGCCTTTGACTTCCCCTTCTTGTCCGCTTGCTCCGCCTGGGCAAGCAGGCAGTTACACGTGGCTTCAGCTACTTCCTTGGTGACAAAGGTGAATGGCAACCTGAAATGATGTCAGAGGGGGGAAGGCAGTGATGCCTGAGTGATGACAGCAGCAAGATTCTCTCCACAGAGTCCAGTATCTGAGTGCCACACAGCACACAAACACCCTAAAGAGCTTTGGGGGGTCATGCTGGGTCTACCACGGACCTATCTAAAACACCATTCAGGAAATATAACATTTAACACAGAATACATGGTCAATGACCTACCTACATGTAGTACATAGGTAATTCACCACTGATATCAGATTTCTCACTGGGCTCATTAAAGATGTCATTCTCTGTGTCCCCTGGACATCTTTGCAATTAAAGTCCTCGCAGCTTATAAGCAAGACTGTGCTGCTGTGGGTCTCTCTTTATTCATGGCTGTTTGTCCAGAGCCGAAAATGGCACCAGACTGAGACAGTCTACCCAAGAAATGGCTGAGTAATACTGAGAATATCGTATAATTCCCAATACTAAGGACCATCACTGGGGCAATCTCTAAAGAAAGCACTTTCCCACATTCCCTCATACCGAATGAAACACAAGCACACCAGCACCTTGCTGTTCCTCACGACACATGACACAAGGGGAAGATCAAACCCTGTTCTCTACCTTGCCCCTTGTAAAGACCTGAGCCACTGAGCAGTGAATCAGACAGCAGCTCCTTCTGAGCTTGTGCTATCTATCATGGCCACGTCTCCTAGCCTGAGAGATTAAACCAGGAAACCTGGCCTAATCATGAACTCAGCAGCCCATCTGTGATCAGTCACTTCTAGAATACTGCCATCTATGTCAAGGAAGCCTAAAGGTAAGGCCCACTCTCACAAGACAGCAAAACAGATTCAGGATGCCACACATTTACAGAGGATCTTTAATGTATAAAGTAGCATTTGAAATTAAATCATGATAACACTGTATGATTACTAACACTGCATAATAAAAGTGTTCACTACAATATACTTGGAAACTAAAGGGGACTAAAAGGAAAGAAAATTCCAGAGGTGGTGGTGCACACCTGTAATCTCAGCACTGGGGATGCTGAGGCAGGAGGATCATGAATCCAAAGCCAGCCTGGGCTATACACTGAGACTCTGTCTCGAAAAATCAAATCAATCAATCAAAAAAGCCGTAAGAACTCCAGCTTTTAAACACTTGAACAAAGGTTTTTAATATGCTGATGTAACTTTATACTGACTTTTTTAAAAAGTTTTTATTGTATTATTTTTTTTATTAAATTATGTAACTTTGTGATTTCACTTCCTATCATGAAGAATTTCCCAAGTGGAAACATTTTACGTTTAACCTTAGTATACCTTTAATCTCCACATGAAGATTAGACTTACTCATCTAAAAGATTATTAAAAAGCCAACAAAAATCCAGGCCATAACCCTAATTAATGTATCTGCTCATTTCCACTTGTGTCAAGAAACATCTGTGTAGTCCAGGAGTGAGAGTTCACTAGAACAAATAGCTGAACTATTTTGTTCAAAAAGACAGCCTTAATTATTTATTTAACTATTTGTTTATTTAATGGGACTGAGGATTACCTCCAGGGCCTTCACACTGAGCTATACCTCCAGCCTTTTTATTTTATTTTTTCATTTTGAGACAGGGTCTTGCTAATTAAGTCTCTTGGTTGCCCAGGCTAAGCTCTATTTGTGATCCTCCTGCCTCAGCCTCCTTGAGTGCTGGGATTACAGGTGTGTGCCACCACAACTGGCCAAGAGCCTTACTTTTACAAGCACTGTATCTTAGTTCAATTTAGATATACCATTTACAGGGCATATTCCACTTAATTTCCCAAATTAATCTCTAATAACAACACAGGACTACAATATTATAGAGTATGATGACTATTCCAGTAAGATGGGAAAAGTGATCCTAGAATACAGAAAAAGAGGTAAAAAAATGCAAAAATATGAGTAATTAACCTCATCAAAAAAACTGTAAAAAAAATTTTTATAGGTGTTTCTCAAATTACATAGTACTGCAACTCAGTAGGGAGAAATTTAAATTAAGCCCAACAAATTGAAGCATCACTTTGTATTTTAGTATTGTACCATGTATCTGACAGTGATTTTTCTGTTATCCTTGAATTCCTTTAAAAGCAACCAAAGATGGAAATACAAAATTCAGATTTGAACTCAGCTTTGCACCCCCAAAAGAAACCTTACCAAAAATGAGAATTTCAGAAACATTATAAGAAGAATTTTAGAAGATGCAAACTTACTTTCCTCCTCCACTATTCAAAGCTGGCGCTGGCCGAGTGAGCAGGTCGGAAATCTGAGAGGACAGCTTGGTCTTAGCCGCTGTCTGCTGCTGCACCCTGACTTCAGCCGCATCTGCCAAGTGCATCAGTGTCTTTCTTTCTGGGCTTTCTTCAAAATTCTTGCAGCCAATACACTTGCATATGGAGGAACACATTATTTTTGCCTAAAAGATTTACAAAAAGAAAGTTTCCTAATCAAAACCTATAAGCAGATACCACAATCAAATCAACAAACGTTACCTAGCCAACTGACATTAAGATTAGATGGAAGCACCTTTTGTGACAAAGACTTAACTGGGCTAAGAATGTGGACTCATCAGGAGAGGCCAAACACTGTCCAGGTCCTTTCCTGTCAACTCCACCCACTGCTGAGTACAGATTCTTCCCCACTGTGAATGACACAGGTTCTCTGTAAGGAGTGTGAATGAGACACTAAGGTATCACCAATGACGGCCATTCAGAACCCAGCCACTTCATCCAAGTTGCCCCTGACATGAAAGGGATTTCACCATACTGAAGCAGCGATGGCGAGCCTTTCAGAGCTCTCAGTGCTAACACTTGCTGTAGCACATATGCCCCAAGTTCGCCACCACTGTAAAATGGGTTTCTTTTCTGCTTCTTGGTGAACCTAGGAATCAAACCCAGGGATACTTTACCACTGAGACACGTCCCTAGCCCTGTGTATTTATTAGTTTGGGGGCAAGGCCTCCCAAATTGCACAGGCTGCTTTTGAACTTGGAAATCAGGGCCCGAGCAGCTAGGGTTGCAGGCGTGTGCCCTCCATGACTGGCTGATGTGGCATGTTGACTACACATACTTCCCTCACTGAACTACCTACCCTCTCCAGATCCCCAAGCCCTTTCATGATCAGGCACCAGTGTGTCCTTCCACGTAAAAACATAAAACATATTTATATGAAACATTTTATATGAAACCTTATGTCCAAATAGCTGTTAACAAATACAGAATTCTTTTATAGTTTGTTTTGCATAATTTGTACCTGCCTTTCAGCGTCCTGCTTTCCATATACACCAAGAACTCATGGGGTTCCTCTAACCTGTCATCTGGCAGAGCTGGAATACCTTTTAACGGAATACCAACCCTTAACGGTTGGGTGGAATTCGTGGTATACATAATGTCCAACATTTTATTACATATTCATTCCTCCACTGATGAGTACACAGTTTCTGGTTCCATTATCCACAAATAATGCATGAAAAGATAGAGGGGTGTAACACTTATGGTGTTATTTCCCTGAGTTAGATATTTAGAATAAGGCTCACTGGTCAAAGTGTATGTAGCTTTTAATTTTAAGAGATGTGGAGCTGGGCGTGGTGGCGCACACCTATAATCCCAGCACTCGGGAGGCTGAGGCAGGAGGATCGCTGTGAGTTGAGACCAGCCTGGGCTACATAGTGAGTTCCAGGTCAGTCTCATAGCGAGACCTTGTCTCAAAAGACCAAAAAAAAAAAAGAGATGTGGTCAGATTGTTTTTTTCAGCTGTAATGCTTCACGTTTCATCACCAATGTATAAATTAAGGCTTTCTATATTCCCTACAACAGATATAATAACTCTTTAGTATTTGCCAATCTCAAAGGAAGAGCATTGTTCTTCACATTTTCTTGGCTTTTAATTCCTCTCATAAATTTAAATAAATAAAACTACTGTCTCTTTATAGCACCTAACAAGACAAACTGACCACATTATGAATACATTTACTCTGCTTCTGTATGTGTATGTATATGTACGTGCGTGGGTGTAGAGGGGTACTATCTACCACTGAGCTCCACCCCCAACCCTGTCTGTCTATCTGGCTATCTGTCCGTCTATGCTATCCTCAACCTATCCAGTGCTGGGATTACAGGCATGCACCACCACCACACCTGGCTGCCCTGCTTGTTTCTTACAATACACAAATAAATTCTATTTATCAAAGGATTGCTGGCTGTACATTTGAATTAATTGGGTTACTGTCAGCCTGTGTGCGAATCCAATCAAGTGACATTTTTATTAAGCCTCTAATGAAGAAGAAAGAAAAAAATCCCTGGCCTTGAAGCGGGGGTACGTATCAGTGGTGATAACTTGAACTGTTTTTTCTGGTGCTGGGAATCATGTTCAAGACCTTGCACACTAGGCAAGTGTTTTACTACTGAACTCCAACCCCAGCCCAGGACAAACGTTGGTCTCAGGACTGCCCAAAGTGCAGGCTGCTGCACACACGTGTATTTCAGAAAAGCCTGCAGAGAGTGGCAGGTAGCACTATCTCTTTGTTGAAGACACCACTGTAGTTTGTAAACCTGTGACATTGCTATTTTTTTTGAAACTCGACATGCAGGTGCTGTGGTGTACATGCATCCAGTCATGAAGCAGCAAGTCAACAGCAAGACCCCAGCTGTACCAAAGAGCACAAGGCTCATTGCCCTGAAGTCCTACTTCCTTCTCATCCAGGGCCCCAGAACCAGCAGCATGATTTCCAATACTAACACAAGATAAGTCCCAATTGCCATAGAACCCCTTTGCAGTGTGTTCTCCTAAAGCTGTTTTCCAAAGGCAGTTAGAAGATGCTCCCCACCGCATCTCACCTCATAGCACTCGCAGTAGTTCTTCAGACACCCCGAGCGCTTACAGTTGCAACCCTTGCTGTGCCGCCGATCCGACTCTCCCTCCTTGCCTTTCCCTATCTTCGGCTTGAAGGCTTCTGGATTTCTGTCCAGGCAAGCCTGCCAAACACACCAGTGTCAAATGCACAGAATCCATAGCACATTACACATACACACCACACAGATTATTAGACTTTCTTTATAAGACAACTGGGTTCTTTAAAATAAAACCAGGAGAAACTAGATTTTTGTCAGATAATAAATAAAAAATAATCACCTTTATTGCTTTTTGCCTTTCATTTTCATGTTCCAAATTGTTATAACAATTAGTACAATTGCAGTTGTTGCAAAATTCACCATTTGCAAAGCAATCACAATATCTGGAAGGCAAAAATCAGTCTAAGATTAAAAGCCACAATAAAATAAAGCTAGTAACTAGCTAAAATATATATACACATGCATTACACTTGTGGCAAAGCAGTTTAGAAATAATTTACCCAGTGCCACCTAGTTGCAGAGTTAAAAAAAAAAACGATGGTCAGGCTCAAAATTAAGTCACCAACTCCTAGAACTTGGGCCTAGAAACTTAGTCTAAAAAATAACAGCTGCTGGCATAAGAGCTCTAGGGTTTTATGTGCCCCAACATGAATTATTTCAAAATCCTGAAACAGGAAAAACACAGCTTAAGCCAGAGCAGTGTTGTTTCGGCTTCTGAGCCCCTCAAAGGCAGTGCTGCCCCTTCTAACTGAGCACTCACACACCAAACACAAGGTCACAAGTGCTTGCCATTGAAGACATGAACTGTGTCTGTTTTGTGCTGCATGTCCCTAGCTGATAACCCATGTATCACCACAAAGTGATTCACTGCCTTTCATCCATGAAGGGGACTACACTGCCATAGGTGCTCACGCATTTGTATGCTCATTTAAATTACTTAGACTTATGAAATTGGCCTAAGAATTTAAATTAGGTCCATTTATTTTTAAGAGCATTTCTAATTATATAAAGTAAGCAAACAATAGAAAAAACACTTACAATTTCAAACACAGAGATTTTGTACAATTACAGGGCTTTCTGGGCCGACTGGCAGACTCTGATGGGATTATCCTATATAGACACACAAAAATACACATTTTCATCCATTAAATATAATCATTTAAAACTCTGAAAGTCTCCAATCTATAATTTCCCCTGAAATAAAGCTTGAACAAATGTATTCATTCTCTAATAAAAGTCTGCTATATTGTAAGTATGTATTTTAAAGTTATCAATAGCTATAAACAACACTTCTCCTACAAAGCCGGGTGTGGTGGCACAGGCCTGTAATCCCAGCACTCGGGAGGCTGAGGCAGGAGGATCGCTGTGAGTTCGAGACCAGCCTGGGCCTACATAGTGAATTCCAGGTCATTCTCAACTACATAGTGAGACCCTATCTCAAAAAAAAAAAAAGAAAAAAAAAGAAAAAAAGAACACTTCTCCTATACTCTTCCTTCTGAAAGAACAAACGTTAAAAACAGTTCAAAACCCTTCAGGTTCAACTATACAAGACAGTGAGGAGAAGGCTGGGAGAGGAAGTGGGCTTCCGACAAGGACAGGTTCCCTGGAATTAACCACACAAGCACTGCTTCCAAGCCCAGACTGCAAAGGCGAAACCAAGACATCAACAAACAGGAACAAAAACCAAGAACCTCACATAATTTAAAAGTAGTTAACATCATTTTAAACACATATTCAAAATGAGAGAATAAGAGACAAAGAATAAATGTGGAAAAGTTGGTGAATCTGAGTAAAGGACATCTGGAGTTCCATATTTCTGTAACTTGTTTGTTTGAAGTATTTCAAAATAAAAAGTACTTTAGAAGACTATTCATAGGGCTTTAAGGGAAAAAATCAAATGTGATGTATTTTGGAATAAACATACTTCATGTTGGATTTAAGTCAACCTAACACCTTAAAGAACTCACCCATTAAATGGAAGCCTTGCCTGGGTCTGGATCCCAGGTGTCCCAGTGAAGTTAGAGTTGCTTGCTATGGACACGTACGAAGACTGCTGTAGCTGTGGGTAAAGAAGGTGGGTTAAGATCATATACGAAAAACAGACAACACTCTGAGATGCAGTGATCATGAGAAGCACAAAGTCATCAACCAAAGTAGAAAACAATATAATGAAGAATTCATACAAACACTTCCTGCAACTATTTTATTTTTTTGAAACAGTTGGCCAGGCTGGGCTGACACTCAATATACAGCCATCTGCCTCAAGCCGCTCTAGTGCTGAGATTACAAGTGTGCACACCACACCCAGCTTCACAGAGCTCTTTGTAAGACCCAAATCAATACTAGAGGTGAAATAAAATGAACGTTTTAATATATTAATACTAAATGCTATAAATCTAAAAAATTTCATAAAAGTATGTTAGAATTATAGGAAATTCTAAATGGATACCCTACAAGTTCTGAAATAACCTTTATTGTTTAGAAAAATACAAATAAAATACATACTATATTGATCACATTTCAAACCACAGATAATGGGTTACGTGCATAAATGGGCTTCATTTTACAGGGATTTCTTTTCTTTATCCTTTTTTTCTCTCTATTTCACTCCCTTCTTACTTCTTCCTTGCATTGCTGGCAGTGGAACAGACCTTGCTGGGTGAACATTCTATACAAACTCAACTACATTCCCAGCCCTACACTGACTTCTAAACATAGAAAGGGTATGTTAACATGCAGCCTTGGCACCCCAGCAGGCTGAAAAAGGTTTTACAAGTTCGAGCCCAGTCTGGCCAACTTAGCAAGACTGTCTCAAAGGCCAAAATCAGAAAAGGTCTGGGGATGTTGCTCAATACAGAGGCCCCAGTTCAATCCTCACAAAGGGATGTGGGTGAAGGACTTGAAAGAACATTTGTCATGGTATAGGCTAGGTGTCGTGGTATAGGCCAGTAATCCTAGCACTTCGGGAGGCTGAGTCAGGAAGATCACAAGTTCGATTCCTGCCTGGGCAACTTAGTGATACGCTGTCTCAAAAAATAAAAGGGGCTGGGGAGGTAGCTCAGTGGTACAGGGCCCCTGGGTTTGATCCCTAGTGCCAATGAAACAAAACAAACCTCAACACCAGTCCATATATATTTCATTAAAGTACATGGATTGCTTTCTATTTCTTTTCTGACAATGGGAGTCGATCGATTTCAATACTTCAAAACACTGTTTAATCTTTGCATGACAAAGAAAAACTCCACCTGCTTCCTGCTAGTGGTGTACCACACCTGGACAACTGGATAGTGTGTGACTTCTAGGGAGGACTAGATGACAGCCGCTAGGCCACTAAAAACAGGTCACCTGGAAAGGCCTCCCACGGTTTACTTTCCAAACACAAGCCAGTGGCATCCTATTGTGAGGAAGAGCAACATCACAGTCATAGTCTTTCTAAAGACACTGGGACTTTGTAACGTTAACTTTCTCCATCTCCACGGTCTTACCTGTCACCAACCAGCACACCGCCAAACTCCAAACTGCCTACTGTTTAATATGACTTATGTCCTATATTCCTAAATGCTGAGAACACATAGAAATAAACTCACACGCTTCAGATAACACTTCAAGATTTTAGACAGAGCCATGTTAATCCTGAGTCCAGTGATCCCGAACAGTTTCAGAATGTGGTAGTACTAGACATCCTAGACCCAATCCCATTTCTGGAACACACTTTCTCCACGCACCTGAGTGACATACTGAGCCGGAAGCACTGCATAGCCCACGTTCCCTGTCCCTGGGGCCGGGGCCAGGACAGTTCCTGGAGGCAGGTTGGTGAGGTTGGGCTGGATCTGGGGCAGTGGTGTAGCAGGCATGATGAGCCGCTGCTGGGGCTGACTATTGGTTATAATCTGTGAAGTTGCATTGATTGGTTTTGGAACAACCTAAAAAAGGGAAATTTTGTGCTCAATGGTCACAATAATAAATTTTATAGTTGTTCAATTCAGTATCAATCTCTTGTACCTAAATCTCAACTCTGAACTTGAAGAGTAAATTGACATTTGGGAGAAACCAAGAAAGAAGTTATGCGATACTCACTTGTTTGACAGTCTGAGCTGGGACAAAAGGGACTGACATCCGCACTGGGGTTGCATTAACAACCACTGGCTTTGCTTTTAAAAGAAGAAAAAAATATGAACAATTTATAGAAAATAGTACTCAAAACCCTTAGAATACTTAGCTCCTTCACGTTACCCTCAGGAAGGAACATAAGGAATCCTATGTGCGGCCTACTTTGCACCATCTTTAATCAGTTACTGCTGAGCACTGTCCATTCCAGCCACCAGAGACTCGCATCTGAGCAGCCAGTCTGTCTACTGTGGAAGGAATGTCTATACACTCAAGATGCTCCACTGAAACTATTTTAATCTGTATGTAGACAGCTTATGCACTCGAGTGTTCAATCCAGCCAAAGGCATGTATAAATAAAAGAACTGCAACCCATACGCCTAGGTGACAACACAGCTCTACCTTACTATTTCTAATCGCTGTGTTTCTGTCTAAACCACAGAAAAGTACTGCTCTTGCAAAATTCAGTATTTATAGAAAAAATACTAAAAGGCAGCATGGCAAAATGACTAAGAATACAGGAGCTAAAGTCATAGACCCAGAGAGCTCAAGTCCCAGTTGTGCCACTTTTTTGAACTCTCTCTGCCTGAATCGCCATCTGGTTAAGCATCTACTCTCATAGCATCCAGACCTAATATGTTAGCACAGGAAATGATCAGAACAGCATCTAATACATAGTAAGTGCTCCATGAATATTAGCTGCCACTACTGTGACCGCTGCTACTGTAATCATCACTACTATGGAAATGGCATCACTGCCAGTGTTCCAGGGAAAAGCACTGCTGAATAATTGTTTATTGAAGTAACAGGGGG